AAAAAAAAAAAAAAAAAAAAAAAAAAGCCATGTAGTAGCTGGGTTCTTTTCACTGAAGATAAGACACAAGCCCTTGCCCTCTCCTTCCCTATTCCATTTTCAGGACTGGTGCCAGTGCAGAGGTATTACAGCGGGAGGCAGTCCTGCCCGTAAGGCTTCATGGGTGTCTGCTCTGTGCACTTTATTAAAACTACTCCACCCTCCAAACCTAAGGAAGCTACTTGTTGCTCATGACGGTGGTAATTTAATAAAGTACATTATTAAAAACACGATTTTACTTTGTAAACATTTTAAAATTCAGCTTTTCACCTGAATTTTCTCCTGAAAATTTCTATATATCCTTTTTTTTACTCTTAGATTTTTTGTTTTCCCAATAATCTACTTCATTAGGGACATGACAATAAAAGGTTTTGGCAAGAAACCACTTAAAAACATATACAGTGTTTCTAAAGTATTGAATGTTTTTTCATTCCTGTTTTTCTTTTACATTTTTCAAATGCCAGATATTTTTCATATTTTTGTTCTAGGCTTCTATTAGATATTCCATATTTTAAAAGTTTATTTCTTATTGACAACTGTATATATCATGTACAACATATTTTAAAATATGTATACATTGCAGAAGGACAAAATTAAGCTAACATATGCATTATTTCACATAATTGTCATTAGATATTCCATATTAATGGCACTTGTTTTTAAAATGCAACAGCGTTTTAGGCACAATAGTTACTTCTGGCTCTGCTTTATAGAGAAAGGGATATGAACTGACATCTATACTGTCCAGATAGTATCTTCCTAGTTCTTTACAAGTTAGATTACTTTTCACTGTGTGAAAATTAGAAACAGTGAAAAGTAATCTGAGACCTTAAAGTTCACAAATGCAACGTATGTGTACAAATCAGCCTAGTTTTAAATGCTGGATCTGCAATGAGCCTGGATATGCACGTTAAGTGATATTCGAATACCAAGAAAAATGATACAACTTTCCTGTCCCTTCGGCCCCCTTGACCTTTCACTGCAAGTGCCCCCTTGCATTTCTGTGTCCCAGTGTCAACAGCAGAAACCCACTGTTAGAGCTTTCAATTCAGAATTCAGCTCCTTTTCCTCCTGCTTGGAAGAAGCATCCGGTTACTACTCTGTAGGGAGACTTCCTTTTTCTATTTGGTTTATTTAAAAATCACCTATCTGGTTTGACTTGTAAGAATGAATGATATAAAGAGATATACAAATAAATTTTCTTTTAAAATTCATAAAACTATTCATACTCTTGAAACAGGAGTTAATACCAAGAATCCATCAGAAGTATCTACTGTTTAGAAGGAAATGGAGCAGCACCAAATGGGTCTAATTCAACTGGTTGAGACTGTTGGGACTGATGTGGTGTGATGCTTTGCACCACAAGTTCTGTAAAGGGCACGGCACCAAAGTCATCCATTTTCAATGCATCTGCACTATGGAAAGACCCATGTAGTGAGTTCTGTCTCGGCCGCCCAGGCAGGACAGCATTGTGATCAGCACAGATGTCACTCAGGCCTTGATGTGACTGGTGCCATGGCAGGTCTGGAGGATGGAAGGGCTTGGCACCAAAGGGGTCCAACAGACTTTCCTCAGGTTGTAGGACATTCCCTCTGTCTTTCCCATCAGTCAATGCAATGCTAATGTTCTCTTTAGAGTCCGAGATGGTTAAAAATTCATTGCTGCTTTGAGAGTCTCGGCGGCCCACTTTTTTGTGCCTGCGAGCCCTCTCTGGAGTGCGGTAGGCAGGCTTCAAAGTCTTCTTTGTGCTAGTTGGTGTGCCGTGATGCCGCTTCCCATTACTTTTGGATATATCCTGCTTTGTGCGCCTTTGGCGAGAGGACAGTTTCTGTAAGCTGCGCTGTTTGACTTTCTGCTGCTGGCTCCCAGTTATTTCCTCAAAGGGCACAAGCCCAAAAAGGTCCTCTTTGCTTTCACTTTTACTCGTGGATGTGGGAAAGGGCTGAAAGGGAGTGGAGCCAAATATATCTACACTTTTGGGACAACCAGAGAGAATATGCGCCTCCGGCCCCACTACAGGGCAATCCTGTACATTCACCTTCTTGCTAAATGGCGCCTTTGTGAATACATCAAACTCCTCTTGCTCTAGTCCCCTGGTAGGAAACATCTGTTGACAGAGGTTCTTTTCATTCTCTCCTTGCTGGGACTGTTGAGTGTGAACTGCAAAGAAGGGGACAGCGCCAAACACATCAAACTCCAGTTTGGGAGTGTCTACCCCAGCATTAGCAGATAAATGAGTTGGAGTGAGGAGAGCTGTAATAGGGTCCTGGGTTGGTTCACTGCCAAGTTTTTCTTTGCAGACAGGGTTCATGTCACCGTACTTTGTTTTAGCCTGCTCATACTCAGAATCAGAGCTATGTTTCTCCTCTTCTTCTTCATCTTCAGAATCCATGAGGAGAGGCCTATGACCCAGATTCTCCGGTTCAGTATCATCATCATTAAAATCTTGCTCTCCCTGAATTTCTTCATCCTCTTGCTCTTCCTCTTCACTGCTCTTAGGAGAAGGGGGGTCTGATTCAAAATCACTTTCAGAGTCATCATTCCCCTTTTGCACTTGACCCCGTACTGATGAATTCTCTAACATCTTCTTTCTGGCCCGCTGATCTTTAGATACTGGACTTGCTTTACCATTCCGGATAGGGTGTGCAGTGTTATCTTCTTGATTCAGGGATAAATGTTCAACTTTCTTTTCAGTAGAACCTGCTGGTGAAAAGAAAAATTACTAAAGCATTCCAGTCCATTTTAAAATCCATTTGCAACAAACATGGCACTATATATCTCTCATACATTCCCTTAAAGGAAAAACTAATGCTGTCAATTCTTGTCATTGTACTTGAAGAGATTATTAGGTCCTTTATGCAGACAGACATAATCGCCTCTGGACCCTATACCCTGCCTACTTATCACAGATCCCCTCATCTAAATTTTATTTATAGTACCCTAAATATAAAAGACAAGCTATTTTTCTTCTCCCACCATCAAAAAAGATCATACAGCTGCTTTCTCAGATTCTACATTTCCCAAACAACCTTCTGCTTATATTTCAAATCTTTTGTTTTTCCAAAGAGATTGGCATGAACAGCTTGTTTACTTAGTGAAATGTTTCACTAATTTTGTTAAATCAACATTTTTCTTTTTAAAAGTTGGTATCTTTTGAGTAGAGTTATCATGAGTTCATCCACATCCTTCATATCCTATCAAAGCACGGGACAGACACTGCACCCAAGGACATCCCACATCCACAAGCAAAAGTGAAAACTTCTCTGGCTGACATACACACTCTTTTAACTATAGCACCCATACTCTAAGACATTACATTAAAGCACACTGTATTTAAGACAAATCCCACCATCACTTCCCAAGAAGTGAGAGCTAAGAATAGAGAGTAAAAAGAGGTCATCCATGCAAAGGATGAGCTGTAAGCTGCTCCAGATAAAAGCAACAGAATGAATATGTGAAGGATTGACAATGGGCCAGGGGGACTCCTGCATAGGGTGAGCAGGGAAGAACAGAAATGGCCACACTCTTGACTGTCCCAGTGAGGCCAGGAAAGGAGTCTAGATTTCATATAAAACTGAGTGTAGCTTTAAAACGGGTATAATCAGATTTATATCCCAAAAAGATGACTGACTGCTATGCAGCAAAGATTACAAAGGTGAGAAAAAGTGTGTATGTGGAGCGGGCAACAAGGAAAATGAGTGTGAATTGGTGGCTACACAAATAGATTTGGGAGTTATCACCATACAAGGGTATAGAGAATCAGCCACAAGACTAAAAGGAGTTCATAGGAGAGTATCAAAGAAAAGAAGACACAAAACTGAGACCTTGTGTGTACTGAGCCCTTTCGTGTAAAATATACATAAGTCAGCAGAGGAAGAGAGAGCTACAAAGCAAACTGCAAAGTACCAGCCAAGGAGCACCAAAACCAGGAGAGTGCAACATCATGGAAGCCAAGAGAGGAGAATGTTTCCAGGGGAGACAACACGAGGCTGGATGGTGTCCCAAGGTCCCATAAACTAAGGACAGAAAATGGCCATTGGATCTGGTCATCTTTTTACAAATGGCTGGCAACTCTGACCCCTGTGGTGGTACTAAGGAATAAGCTGGGGAGAAGAATATGGAAACTTGCATCTGGTTATTCTTAAGTACACATATAAGGCTTCAGCATATTCCTTAAAAACAGTTAAAGAGTTTCATGGTATATTTGGTATATTATCAGATTAGAACCAAATCAAATGCAGATTCTCAAGAGTAAGAGTGACTTGCCTCATAGAGCATACTTCCAATATTAAAGACAAGGAATACTTTTAGTGTCAGAACTGCTTTTCAAGGATTGCTACTGAAAGCAAAGCATGTACTGTATAATCGTCCTTCACTCTGGAACATTGCCTCTAAGATACATCAGCTTTCGCCTCAAGCCTACCTGCTCACACAAAGCTGCATATGCACTCTTCACACCTATGTGGATGCCTCCAGTAACATCCCCATGTTTTCTAAAGCGCAATCTACAGAACACTATTCCTGGTAACAAGAACCAAACCTGTTCTGTGGTCTCAGCAACCAAGTCTCTAAGATGATACACTCTATATGCTGCCTCCACCACTGCTCACCCAGAATATGCTCATTAAAGTGGCTAACAAGTCTTACAAAAAAGAATCTTTCATTTTATGAAACCTAGGATTATCCAAATTTGCTTCTGTAAGCTTTTACTTACAGGTAACACTCATTCATTTTTACAAACAACTGTGCAACAAGCATTCTGGGAAAGTTTTTCATTTCTAGGGAATTTAGGCTTATTCCTGAAAGTCTGGAACTTTAATGCAGGACAGATACTCCATCTTGGACAGTTTCTTTCACTTCACCTTCTTTTTCTTATTCTTACATTTCAATTCCAGCCTTCATAAAATATACTGTTTCCCTTACCCAACAGGTAATCACTGCTTTGCAGAAGACATCTGTAGCTAACTGTCTTCCCAACTGCCCTGTCAGATTCTCAACACAGCTGTAATACAGATAAACATTTCTCTGTTGTACAGTGACACACAGAACTTTATTTGTAATTGCCAGTGTGGAAATAAATTTGTAGGATTTTTTAAAAAAAAAAAAAAAAAAAAAACATTCTTTCCCAGGTGAGATGGAATCTGTGTTGTTTTCATCTGCATCTTTTGAGAGACCAGTGATGTTGAACATTTTTTAATGGAAAACTTGAGCTTGAGTTTTTGTATTAAAAACTTAATAACTTTTTATGTATTTGTTATTGACATTGTCTTTGAAATTATCCAGTTGAATACAAATTCTACTTCCTGTAATATAGACTATATTTTTGTTATGATGAGGAGTATATATCACTAAAATGTATGTTTGTCTTTCCTAAAATATATGACATAATAATGAAAATTGAAGTGAATAAAAGAAGACAGGGATATAGCTCAGTGTGTCTGTGCCTTCTTGGCAAGTGCAATGTCCTGAGTTTTATTCCTGGTACCCCCAAAAAATTAAATAAAAGAAGAAGCAATACAAGTAAGAAATATAAATGGAAAAATAATTAAGATAGAGAAGATATTACATTAATGAAAATAATCTCAAGTATTATACAAGTAAATTTATAAATTTATCATTTTCTTTTTAATTAATGTATCATTTTACATATTTAGGGGTTAAGTGAAAAATTAACTTCCTTATCATGTCTTCATTTTTGGAGATTTTGAGTTACTCTTTTCTACTACTTCTTAAAAGAAATTATTGGTAATCATGAACTAAATTTATGCTATGGTGCTATAGAATAATAGGCTTTATTTATCTAACCATGTTCTTGTGCTTGTTACATAACTTTTTTCTATATTGCCTCCCTCCAACATTTATTAGGGTTTAGTAATTACTAATCTACTATTTTCTACTCTGAGATCAAATATTTGCGTACTATATATGAGAGAGAAACATAAAGTATTCCATTTTATTCTATTTTGTAACAAAAGACAAAATTTGATTCTGTTTCATACTGGATTTGCATTCTGTGTATGTACCACATTTTAAAACTCATCTTAAGCGAGACACTTAAATAGCATTTTCATTGTTAATGAAAACTGCTGCAATAAATAGGGGTATGAAAGCATCTCTTTGATATGCTGATTTCATTTCTTTTGTATATTGTATTAATATTGTAAATGGCATGTATGAGACCTCTGTGGATAAGCTTTGTGAAGAAAAAGCATTATTACAGTGAACGGAGGTTGAAATCAGGGGCAGATTTCAGAAGCTAACTGAGAAGAGTGGACTTTATTAAAGCTGTTTGTGGATGAGCTGACATTGAGAGAGAAATAGAAGCAGCCAGTCTAGAGATATTTCATATAAACCTAACACACACACACACACACACACACACACACACACACAGAGATCCCCCCCTACACACAAACACACAGTGAGAGAGATTAGCAGCTAGCACAGGTGTGTAGACAGTCAGTAGACTTTTTGACACTGGGGAGCTTGTATATTCTATGCTAAATTTTCTTTATAGTCTGTCTTGTTTAATAAGAATAGCTTGATTTTGTTGAGAGTGGCCTGTTTGCTTTGAGAAGGATGCATTTAGGATAAGCATGACAGTGCTAACAAGAGCTTCCAGGGCTGGGGCAAGACTCCTCAAAAGACTGCACATGCTCTGAGTCAGATTTAATGCAGGGCACAGAAATTTATAATATATGTCTACAATGGTAGCCCAAAGAGTCAAATTCAGAAGAGCACAAAAGATCTGTCTGTGCATTAAAGATCCAAAGGATCCAGCTGAAGTCCTGGAATCTACAGCAATGTCCTGCACTAGTACGCATCAGGAGGCCAAAGGATCTGGGGTGTAAGACTGAGGAGTCTGTGCCTGAAGGTTGAATGGTTAGCACTTGAATTTAAAGAATCTGTTCCAGAAGGCTGTAACCCCAGTTCTGGAAGATGAAGGATCTGACAAAGCCAGGCGAGGATTCCCAAGACAAAGGAAAAGATTGGAGAACCTCTGAACAGAACAGCCCAAGGTCCTCCAAGGGAAAAAGGAAAATGTTAATTACAAAAACTAAAAGGAAAATACAAACTGGGATCACATTATTTAGTTCATGGAAATAAAAACAAATTATTGGTTTTACTGGATTCATAAATAAAAATAAGAAATATACTTTAAAAATCTAAGCCAGATGATCAAATAATATATTTTTTAATTTAAAAAGTTAGAACCATTTTGTTTGTGTAATATCTAAATCATCATTTCTCACATATTTTGCCCTAAAATTTTGACTCAGAAACAACAAATTTTAATTATATCTATACCATTTATAAATTCAAATATTTCAATAATAATATGTCACATTAAATGCTGCATTCTCTGTTTTGACCTAGTGAACACTCATGCTGATATGAGTCTCATTTACCTATTTGTGTAAATATCCTTGAAACTTTAATTTCTTTTTTATTTAAATTTGATTTTCACTTTGTTATAGGGTATCTTTATATAAGGTCTTACCCAAAAAAGAACGAATTTGAAGTCAATTTGTTAAATATGTGAGACTGGGTGCTTATTCTTCTACCTTAAAGGCTTGATGCATTTGGGATATGAACTTTATTTTCTTTTATTCATTTTAATAATTTCAATATTATTTTCTAGCATGGGGCTTCAATGAGAACCCCACTCATTAGTTTGTATGTATTTATAAAATATTCCACTCTTTTTATAAGCATTCT